TTTTTCCACCAGAACTCTTGCTGTGCCACACCCATCACCAAATTCCACCTCCTTGTGTTTCTTCAATCACATTTTGAACTACAGTACACAGGGATGAGATGTCAACAAGAAAAGGAGCAACCTATAGCTAAGCTATGGACTAGACATCTACCCAGAACAAAACACTCCTATTACAAACTATTTAACCAAAGTCCTTTCCCTGTCTTACCCATGGCAGTTTCTATTACTGAAAAACTAACATCACTTTGTCCTCTACAAAACACCAAGTGATAAAGACTCACAGTGAAATAAAAACTCTCAGTACCTTTTTACATATGAATAATCTGAAATGCAAGAAACTGTACTGGTCCCAGACACAACCTGAAGGAGAGTCAGAATCTAGAGGCTAGGCTGTACAGCACACCAGCAAGGAAGACAGTATGGAAGGGACAGAGTGATTAAAAGGTGACAGAAGAACATCTCACCCTAATTAAGTGTCACAACAGTCACTAAGGAGGGATTTTTTTTCCCAACATCTTTGTAATCTCTCAACAGGCTAAGGTATTTAGCCACTAGTATTTTCACAGACATTGAAGTAAATAATTTCAATATTCTAATGTGTTAATTCCTAAACAACAACAAAATCAGAAATTCTCTGGTACTGATAATGGCAGCAACAAGATACGTGCAGATTTCAACTACTGGCATTCAGGAATTACCTTCCTTCTAGAGTCATTCTAATGTTCACACACTTTGGTACTTCTATTTAATACTATAAATTACTGTTACTACACTGTCCCTTCCTGAAAAAAAAAAGTTTCATCCATTCTGCTGGCACTGCAATCCCCAAAGTTAAGTTAAAGGAGCATTAAGGGGCTTGAATAATTTTTAGAAAAGCTCAGATTCTTCTTTTACTCTTAAGACAAGAAATATACAGGTTATATTCCCAAGCCACCTCTCCATATACCTGGCTTTTACTTTTTTAACTACCTTGAATTAACATTTTAATACTGTAATTACAATACTTCTGCTGCAATTCTCAGGCCAAACAGTTACACAATTTTTGACCAGAGCTAATGCTGACCTTTTGTGTTTTATCAAATTATGAGGAACAAAAACTGCTCAATATTAATTTACTTTAAGCCAAGAAAGCATCATTCTCTAGACTTGACTATTTGCAGACCAGCATATTCCCTCATTTTTCCCATCCTTGCAACCAGCTGAGCAAAGGTTTAAAAAGTTTTCCAGTTTTGATACTCTGAAAGACAGAGAACCCCTTTTCCTGCTGTTGTGTTCCAGTATGTTCCCATCTATTAATAATGGACGTTATTTCTAATTTTAGTATATTTGCTGCAATTTAAAAAAAAAATAAAAAATTCTTCAATAGCTAGCACTTTCTTCTTATTAAGATATTTATATAAAATACCATTCTTTTCAATACCTTTAAAAGGATTTAAATATTTATGTTTCTTTATAGTTATTTTCTCAAGTCCTAAGTTATTATATTCAACGTATTCTGCAACTTAGCCCCTTTTTAAAGCCCTGTTAAAAACAGACACAAGAAGCAGAACCAGTATTTCAGCACTAGGCTCATCAGTGCCACACAGAAGTAAAATCCCCTTTCCTGTTCATACTCATAAAGCCTGAATTAGCTGTTTGTGCCACATCATCACAGTAGAAGATCAACCTGAATTACATTCACTGACTCCTAAATCTTTTCCAGAGTTGCTGCTTGCCATAATTCAGTCCACTCTGGCCTGTATTTCCAGTTTTTAAAACAAATAACCTTGGCTACTTCTAAAGGTACTTTGCTGATTTCATGGGCCCAGCTTACCAAGTAATGATATAAACAGCCCTTTCTCCCTGCCTCGTGGTACTTCTACTATTTCAATACTTTTGTGTCACTTGCACATCAGTGATGATTTTGTAATTTCACTGAAAAAAGTACTCCGTATTGCTCAGGTGTCCCAAATCCCACAGAAGATTTAAAAATATCCCCTTCCTGCCTAGCGATGATTCCCATTTTTCAGAACCATTTTTCAGCAGCCACTGATGTCTTCCAAGCATTTTCTTTGAACTTGGTTCTAAACCATCAGAGCCTAAAAGATATTAAATAACATCCCTTGTCTCTCCTGACTAGAACACAAAGGACTTTTTTTCCCAAAATAAATACAAATACATTTTTCGAATGTTACTATTTTGCTAACATGGTTACTCATGCTTCTACATCCTCATTATTTTATTCTTAGCTTGCTGCAACACCATCCTCCATATCCTTGTCAGCTTACTTATCAGACAACTCTCTGATGTCCTTAGCTTCTTTATAACTGCTCTTTTACTGTTTCCATAGCAATCCTTCACATTTTTTATTTATTGTGACTTTTTCCCTCTGCCTTCAACTACCATTGGTTCCCATCAGATATCACAGATTTTATTCAAACTTAACTGATTCTTCCATTGTAAAAGGTTAATAAATTCTTCTTAAAGATGTTTTTATTTGCTTGAGAAACTCTAAACAACAATTATTTATTTTGGAGTCTGACATAACTGACTGAGGTCAGATTTTTTAGAACTAGATCACTAATTTCACAGAATTACAGAAACCAAATGGTAGAATAAGGAATGTTATTTTAAGTTTGCATTTAAACCACTGAAAAGGAATGTACTGTGATACAGTATGAGAATGTTTGTCACATTAACCAGTTTTATCCTTCTCTTTCAAACAGTATTTTTGTGCTTTCAAATTAAATACCCTAGGCTTTTGTTCACAGGTCAAACACAACATTTTTCATAGTGTGTTCTACAAGGCCCAGCTCAGCAGAACTACATTCACATTAGTACCAGTGTCACTAGTGGACAGAGCAATGATATATTAGACAAAGGGGAACAGACAGAACTAATTGGCCATATGAGGACACATAAGTGTGTGAGAGGAATGCATAAGCAACAGAGAACACATGCAAAGGTAGCTTGCTCCTTTGGTACATCCAAAGGCACAAGATAAATGGCATTATTAACAGATCTGGTATACAAGAAACACAGTATGAGTTACACATGCAAATCCTTTCTTCCTCAAAATTTGTATCCTGGTCAGAAATATTCCCTATACAAAAGAAAGTAAATTGTGTACAGCTTGAGAAGATATAATTTAATAGATTAGAAGGTGAATAAAAGTCTTTATGCTAATTTTGTCATAGTAAATTGATTAAATCTGTCATTACAACTTCTTTCATCATCACCACCACATTGGAGACAAAATGCAGGCTTCATCATGTTTGAAATACTGGAAATGTCTTTATCTTTTGCAACATGTCCACAACGGCACATGCTTATGGCACAAATTATGACATTCTAAAAGAAACCAGTATGTATTCATTAGGTACATTTCTGTAAGGACAATTAGATATTTTTTAAGTTCTTAGGGAGGGCAATGGACATTTGCATGCATCAGGCAACCATGCTTCAAAAGAGCTAGCTTGGTATCCTCAGCAACAGCTGCAGATATAATGCTAATAATACTGTAAAATAAGGCTTTACATCTCAAAACAGCAACTGTTTTTTTTTTAACTGCCCTTGATCTCTTATCATACCATATTTAGTAACAGCCACCAGTATAATCCTCTAATGTGACCTATATAATTAGAAGATGTTGTGAAGAGTTGTATTTTGGACAAGTGAAAAAAGAAAGGGGGAAAAAAACCCAACATAACAAACCCCACTAGCCTGGAACAGATGGGGTCCACAGAAAACTACTCTCCTAAATGTCAGCTGTAACTCAGTGATTGTTTAGATGATTTTTACACTAGAATATAGAGCTAACATGGACTAAAATTGTCACACACTCAGTGTGGAGCCTGTGAAGTATGAGCATGACTGCTGGTAGTCCCACAAGTTTCACTAAAGCAAGAATGAATACACCTGGTGCTTGCAAGTTGTTGCCCATAATAAAGTAGATGCTGATATTAGAGTTCAAAACAATAGTATATTTTCATTTACTTTGGAAGAATTTCAGCCTGGGAACTCTCTGCAGTTTAGATTAAGGAAAATAGAAGATTGCTTCTGTCATTTCTGTCTGTCAGGAAGGGCCTCATTACCCAAGTAGGTTTGTCATATGTTGTTATGCCAGTTGTATTTTATTACCATTGATTTATTCATAGAGATAATGCAATTATGGCTATTCAAATATTATTCTTCAACTATTTACTTATCTTCTGGAGAGAAAGCAAGGCATATCTGAATACAGATCAGTTGATTGAGGTTAGAGAGTTAAACAGAGAGATGTGGTTCTTTTTACTGCTTGTGGTTCTTCCACATACACCCGAGCAGCCTTACAGTATATTCTATGGAAGATGAGAGACACAATAATCCCAGAGGCAATCAGAACTTAGTGGACTTGTATGTTTTGAGTTTCCATTGGAGCTTTTAATATGTACTCAGGGATCAAATCTTGTTAATCCCTACACCATAAAACACTGTTCTTTGTAGAAGGAGGATGGCACAAAACTGTTTGCAATAATGGTAAAACACTACGAAAATGCATAGTTGATAAAAGAGTGAAATACTTCTCCACAACATTTTCTGAAATAGTGAAAAGAAACAGTCTGAAAAATACCCAGAAGTTTCAGAAGAAAGAAATGACAGAAAGCACATAAAGTACATCGTTCTGTAATTTGTTCTAAAGATCATAAAAACTCATGCAGTAGAAGTGTTGACGTATATACGTACACATTCCATCTAAGGCCAACATCAACTCTACATTTATAGACTAAGTTAACCACAGAAATAGTGGAATTTATTTGCACCACTGTACTTAGCACCTGGACAAAGTAAAGCTGTGTTCAGAAAAAAGCACTGCATGTTCAAAAAGCTTTCTTTACATAAAAGCTTGTTTTTATTGGACATCAGTGAGTCAAAGGCAGATGGCTGATCTAATTTTAGTTAGAGACAGATACAACCCACCAGTGGCCAGAGTAACCAAGGGTAGCCAAGGTTATCAGCCTCAAGCAACAAATTTGTTTTACCTCATATTCAGATTCCAGTGTCACAGTGTTCTGTTTTAATTTTTCTTTCAAAGCTGGATCAACCTGCAAGAAAAACAACAAGTACAGCAAAACTGCTTGCATTTAAGAAATTTTTTAAAGAAGTCTTACCCCAAATAAACTAAATTGGTACATGCAAACCCTCCCCCTCTCCTCTAAATGGGTTTATATGCTGTTTGTTCAGGTACCAGGATGATGAATACAGTGCAAGAATCAGGCTGAAAAGAGACAGGTCAACAAACTTTTCAAATCAAAAAGGAAGCATATTTGTAACTAACTCTACCTTGGTATTACCTTAGATATTTAAATCTCTAATTGTTTACATTGAAACTCTCAAAACTAAACAAAGCCTTAAACAAATGAAACAAGAAAGACCAAAAAGGAGAAAATTGTGATCACGTTGCATATTTTACTCCTGAATGTTGTGTTCAGTGAATAGGTATAAAATATATTCTAGCTTTAAAATCCTAAGCAGGAGTCAAACTTCCAATGTGCAGGTGAACACACAGCTCTCCCCTAGTTTCAATTCTGTACCAACAATGCTGGCGATTCCTGCCATATTTTAGAGAAGTTTGTTCAAAGGAAAACATCTAAGAACAGAAATGTTGGTGAACCACAGCAGATGTGTTCCACCTTTTAACTTCTATGCCTAGATGAAGTTAATGTTCATCCCCCCTCTTTGCTAAGTAATATCTGTCTCCCACAGGCCTAAAGGCAGAGAAAAGGGGAAAAAAGATAAATTAGCATTTTTCATGCTTAGAGAAATCGTTTTATGTTCTCCTCAAACAGACATCAGCTATATATGCAGTATTCAGACATGGTCTTTACACTAATCAATTAAGATATCAAATAAATCTACCATGAGAAAACATTCTCATTTTTAGATCTTAAATACAATTAGTGTTAAACAAACCAGATGTGTAAGGAGACTGGTAATGTGTTTAGTTCTACATTCCTGGTACACTAGTACAACTATTACTAGCTCAGTGAAAAAAAGTTATTCTTAATTTGATCTGAATGAAAAGGGCTTTGTAACACTCGTCACAACCTACCTCAAATGTCTATAAGCAGTCTGGAAAAGAAAAAGGAGGGAACACAAGATACAAAATTTGACTGGTCAATGAGAAGATCTACCTTCAGCTTTGGCCACAACACAAACTCCTGATCCTCAGATGTACTTGAAATACACACCCGTCACCTGTATTGATGGGAATTGCTACGAGGAATTTCCCTAGGACATACCGTTCCATTTGATTACAGACACCGTCTGCTAGTTAATATGCAGCCTGTGAGACCTCAGTTCCTAAGGATGCTCAGGCAAGCAAATCTAACACCATCTGTGCATGGCCAGAAGTTTGATCTCCCTACCTGATCAGAGATCTGGTCACAGAAATACATGCATTTGCAACCTCCAGACTCATTACACTTGGGAACTAAGCCAAAACATCTATAAGTTTGTCCAGGATACAGCTCCCACCTTCTTTGTAATAATAATATTTTTTTAAAAAAAAGGTACTATCTCTGCACTGGCCCTCTACATCAAATAAAAACTGAAATACTACATCTCTGCCTTGGCATTCAAGGCCTCCACAAAACTGCCCCTCATTAAAGATGGATTGCTGCTCTCCTTCTGTGACCACAACCTCCAACAACAGCCATGCTTAATTAGAACAAGGAAACCCATCCATCAGATGTGCAGATATGCAAACTCTTTGGACAGCCAGACAGGCTTTGGAGCTTGCCTTCACAGAGATAAGAATGATCATGGGCCTCACTCTATTCAGAACTAAATGCAAACACTATTTGTTATGCTTGGTGTTCTGGCAATACACGTATGGACAAGGGAAAATAAATGCTCCAGTAAGTAAAGAAGAAAGAGAGTTTTATTTCCTCCTACATCTCCCCTTCATTTAATAAAAAGGAACACAAAATAACATGGTTGAAGCAGCATTTTCACTTAATTAACCACAGCCAGAATTTAACTTTCAAAGACTGCTCAATATCCCTATTACCAAGTTTTATTTTAGCAATTTTAGTGTATTTGTTTAAGGTGTAGTATTTTCATGGCTACAACGTGTCTGATAAGGGGAAACAAGCACTAAAATTACTGTTGCTTTTCCTCCCTTCCAGGACCACCTGTCCTCAGACTTCCTTGTGCATTCTTCTCCTCTGCCTGTACAAAGGGAGACTTGCTGAATCTGAAACACAGCATCCCAAGACTCATAACGTTTTAACACTGTAGCTTTAATATTATTCTTATTAAGCTTAATCTTTAGAAGCAGGAATTTTATTCAGCAAACTAACATACCAAAAAAGAGTAGTTAAATCCTGTTTTGAGGGCAAACTGTACACACATCTTTGCAAGCTCCTAATATTTATCATGCAGGCACATGAAAGACTTAAATCCATTCTGCAGAACAAGCTGTTTTGCTTGAAGTTTCACAAGAAAAGAGATCAAGTATGTATTTCTTTTTATCTTTACATTTTTTGTTCCTTACATACTTACCCACATCAAATAATACACACATACTTGACTCTGCACAGAAACTGAGTTTTCTGCATGTTTTAAAGCCTTGGTTGCAAACCTCTGCTTTTCAGTTGCCAGAGACAGGTTACAAATTGTTTTCAGAACCAATAGGGCAATTGTGAAAAAGTTCTGTTTCCAAAGTGCTTGTACCATGTTGCACTATCTTTGCAACATCAGAACAAAGAAAGGGAGACAAAACAGTCCTATTTTCATTCTGAAAAGGCAGATAAACATCAATGTGAGCCACAATCACAGGTCATAACCAGGGAACACTTACCATGTGGGCAGAGCCAGGAAAGTGCCCATGCCAAAGTGATAGCTCCTTTATATCACACAGCTGCCACAAGATCCAAATACAAACATACATTTTGCTTCTATGATGACTGCTATGCCAAGACACATCCTGCCAAACGAGCTAAAAGTGTTCAGCTACGTAAAGCAAATGAATCATCAGCTAAATTGTGACTACAAATCCCTATTAGTAAACACAATGGGGGAAGCAGACAAAGCCCAAATGCCGTAACAGCCTGGCAGTGTTCTCTGCACCATTTTTTAGGAGACCAAAAGGAACTGCAGATAATATCCCTTTACACTCAAAGACTACTTCTTGACAGGCAAAATCTCAGAGCTCCATTAATAGCCATTCAAATTCAAGCTTTGTCTCTAAATATGGAATTCAAAGATGTATGGACTTATAATTACAGCATAACTGCACAATAAATTCTTACTGAAAAACTACTGAAATGCTTGATGCAAGTAGTCAGACAGCTTTCATCAGATTCTGTCTGCAACGTTTCAAAACCAATACTGTAAATAAATTTTCCAGGCTTTACTATTTTTTTCCTGGTTTGTGGGATTGGGTGGGGTTTTTTCCTATGTAGCACTTGTGGCAAAAATGAATAAAACATTCTTAGAGCATTCTGGACTACATAGACTTACTTCATATTGCATGAGTTGGAAATGCAATGGCAGGTATAGAGACAAATCTCAAAAAAAGGTTTAAAACCAAAGTTTTCAAATTAGAATTTTGTCCCACCTCACACTCCACTGTTTCAGATCTACGCTTACTTAACTTCAAAGTTCTTAGGCAGCTAAAAGTAACAGGGGTGAAGCACAAAAATATTCTTAGACGTCTTAGTGAGCAGCTATTTGAGGCTGTAAGTACCGAAAAATCTTTTAAAATATGGCTGCCACTTCTCATTTAAGACTGACACTTCAGGTTTTCAAGTAGAACCTGCATAGAATTTCTAGGTGGGAAAAAAAATGCACCTCGGGGTACAGACAACAAGCATCACTTCAGAGCAAAGCAGGAATGGCTGATGTTTGCAGTCCCTACAAAACCAGGCACTCCTGCAGTGAAGTATGACAAACTGTTGGCCTCTCTACACTCCTTTCAGTAAAGGGAAATTTTTGTTTGTGACACCAGTATTTCTGGTACTGTTACAAACCTAACTGTGCTGCTATTAAAAAATTCTCTACCTAATGATCTTGCACTGATCCTCAGTGACCACAGTTCATTTCAGTTCAGGAGCAAATACTACATACAGAGAGCAACTGTGAAATTTGTGAATGTCACCAACTTTACCTCCGGGATTTGGAAAGGATAGCTCTTTCCCAAAGAACCCAAAAAACACCATGACTATCCTCTTTTTTATGTTCAGAGGGGTGGAACATCTCACCTGTGAGGAAAGGCTGAGACAGTTGGGGTTGTTCAGCCAGGAGAACAGGAGGCTCCAGAGAGACCTTACTGTGATACTGTAACATCCAGTTGCAGAAAGAACAGTCTAAGACTTTTAAGTCTTAGAAGACAGACAATCTTTATGGCAGCTCTGGATGCATGGGGGATCGTTCAAACCTCACGTGCATACCACAAGTGGCAACAGGCAAGGCTTATGTTGTCCTACTATATACATAGGCATCAGGTTCCTGGAACTAATGATAATATTTGCATCCTCATTACACATGTGATTTAAGCCTCTTAGGGTCTCTGGTGGTCTTTGGCGGTTGCTTTGAAGTGTCCTTTGACTGAACTCTTCCCCAGGGTGTTCACAGTATTGGGCAACCCATACGGTTATCATCTTCATGTCTTGCCGGTTTCAGCTAGTTCTTAACTGCAAGGCCCCTAGTTCCTTGAGCTTGTTATATATTTACATACAAAAGGCCTTGAAACTGCTCAGGTAAGCAAATCAACATGGCCAGAAAAGTGATAATGGAGTGTTGCCTACTGTTTAAGGTGTCAGCCTATTGTTCAAGCTACCAATTGCAGCTTGTAAGAAAGTCTCCTAAGAAAGATGGGGACATACTTTTAGCAGGGTCTGTTGCAACAGGACAAGGGGAAATGTTTTTAAACTAAAAGAGGGTAGATTTAGACCAGACACTGGGAATGCATTTTTTACAATAAGGGCAGTGAAACACTGGGACAGGTTGCCCAGAGTGGTGGCAGATGCCCCATCTTTTGAAACATCCACGTCCAGTTTGGACTGGGCTCTAAGCAACCTGATCTAGTTGAAGATGTCCC